ATCGAACTAAAGTTTTTTCTTGTTTCCATATATTTTACTTTGAAATTCTTAATCAATATCATGTTTCTATTAAATGTCTGTGTTCTGATAATGCCAAAGAATATATGGCTGTTTCCTCTGGTTTTCAATCATTTCTTATATTTTATGGGATTTTGCATCAAACTTCTTGTCCCTATACCCCCCAACAGAATGGGGTGGTTGAATGAAAAAATCGTCATCTTCTAGATGTGGCTCGTTGCCTCCTTTTTCATATGAACCTCCTCAAAATGTGCTGGGGGCATGCTGTAAGAATAGCATGCTATCTCATAAATCGCCTTCCATCCTCAGTGCTTCATGGGGGCATACCTTTCTCCACTATCCATCCTACAAGTCCACTTTTTACTTTTTCACTTCGTGTGTTTGGGTGTGTCTGTTTTGTGCATCGTCTTGCTCCTGGTCATGATAAACTTGATCCACGGGTTGACAAGTGTGTGTTTCTTGGGTATTCTCAAACTCAGAAAGGGTACAAGTGTTATAGTCGAGTTAGTCGGTCGTTGTATGTTTCAGCAGATGTTACCTTTTTCGAAGATCAGTCATATTACTCCTCTACAGTGGGTCCTTCTGAAGATGTTCTGTCTTTGACTATGGCTCCACTACCGCCTATTCCCTTGGCGAGTATGCCTGAGTCGTCAACGTCATCGCTTAGTTTTCAGTTCGCCGACAAGACCTATCAACGACGTCGGTCTATTCAACATGAGGTAGCACAGTCACCGCCTGCATTGGGTATGCATGATTCTCCACCGGTCAATGTCCTGTCCTTTGATCCACCAGTTGCTTCTGAGCATGATTCTACTACTGACATTCCCATTACATTGCGCAAAGGTACACGTTCTTGTGTTGGTAAACCCAATCGTCGGTTTACTCTCTATAGTGGTTTGTCTTGTCATACACATACTTGTTACCCTCTTTCTCGATTTTTATCCTACGATTGTCTTTCTCCTATATATTCCTCGTTTGTTGCTTCTTTATCTATTATGTCTGTGCCAAGTACTGTTGTAGAGGCTCTTGCACATCCAGGTTGGCGACAGGATATAGAGGATGAAATGCAGGCGTTATAGGATAATGCGACATGGCAACTTCCATCGTTACCTGCTGGGAAACAGGCTGTAGGGTGCCGTTGGGTTTTCACAGTGAAGTTTCAACTAGATGGCACTGTTGAGCGTTTGAAGGCATGTCTAGTTGCCAAAGGTTACACCCAGACATATGGAGTTGATTATAATGATACATTCTCTCATGTAGCAAAGATACTTTTCGTTCGTGTTTTCATCTCTCTTGCTGTCCATTATGGTTGGACTCTTTACCAACTTGATGTCAAGAATGCCTTTCTTCATGGGGATTTGGCAAAAGAGGTATATATGGAGCAACCCCCAGGGTTCGTTGCTCAGGGGGAGTCTACCAGTGTTTGTCACCTACGCAAGGCATTATATGGATTGAAACAGTCTCCTTGTGCCTAGTTTGGTCGTTTCAGTGATGTAGTTATTCGGTTTGGTTTGTGACGTTTTACTGTAGATCATTCTGTATTTAGCTCTACTTCCCCTGCTGGGTGTGTTCTCCTGGTTGTGTTTGTGGATGATATTATCATTACTAGTAGTGATTCTGTGGGCATAAAAAAATTGAAACAGTTTTTACAGGCAGAGTTTACAACAAAAGATACGAGTTGTTTGCGATATTTCTTGGGCATTGAGGTGGTCTACTCACGTGATGGTATCTCATTATCACAACGGAAATATGCACTGGATATTCTCAGTGAAGTTGGTTTTCTTGGAGTGAAGCCTGTTAATACTTCGATGGATCCTAATGTGAAGCTTGATACAGAACATGGCGAATTACTTCATGATCCAAGTAAGTATCGGAGACTGGTGGGTAAGCTCAATTATTTAACTGTTACCCGACCAGATATCTCTTTTGCGGTTAGTGTTGTTAGTCAATTTATGAGTACTCCTCGTACTGCACACTGGGAGGCAGTGCTACGTATAATTAAATACTTGAAGGGAGCACTAGGTAAAGGGATATTTTTCAAGAATCATGGACATCTTGATGTTATTGGCTACTCTGATGCTGATTGGGCTGGTTGTCCTTTTGATAGGTGATCAACTTCTGGTTACTGTGTATTCTTGGGAGGCAATCTTGTGAGTTGGAAAAGTAAGAAATAACATGTGGTGTCTCGATCGAGTGCTGAGGCGAAATATCTGGCCATGGCTCATGTGACTAGTGAGTTGATTTAGTTGATAACCAGTCTGCTATGCATATCGCTTCAAATCCAGTTTTTCATGAGCGCACGAAGCATATTGAAGTAGATTGCCATTTTGTGCGAGAAAAGATTCAAAACAAGGACATAACATTTCAATACACATGGACTGAAGACCAACTTACTGATCTTTTCACTAAGTCATTGCAGGGTAGTAGAGTGATTACTTTGTGTAACAAGTTGGGGCTCTTTGATGTTTATGCCCCAACTTGAGGGGGAGTGTTGAAAGGGTAGTTTAGTCTTCTCCATAATTAGTGAGCCCTGAGCCCTAATGCTCACTATATATATAGATGATGTAATCTGAAAAAGTGAATGATGATTATATTTTCATCAGATACCATATCATCCAACTGACCGTACATGCTTGAGTCTTGTTGATCTTGAATCTCCTATAATCACGTTCCTCAATTAAGTAGTCATCCTGGGCTTTTTCCTCCTTTTCTCATTGGTGAAACGGAAGCGGACTAAATTATCTTATTTCACAAATCACACGGACCAAAATTGGATCTCACAAAAGATTTCACATGATTTCAAAACAACTACCATTTTTTTACCATGCCAACAGTACAATCTTATATATGTACATCATTATTTAAGTTATAAAATACAATTTGTCAAGTACTATTTTGGGTTATTAAAAAGGAAAGAGAAAGACAAACGGAGCATTTGACTGTAGTTATTGTAGGTTGGATCTATGATTCTATATAACACCCTTTGTCAAGCTTAAGCACAAGCTCCACATAGCAATCTCACACTCCCATCATCATTCCAGAGAAATCCTCAACCTCCATCAATCTTCTTCAGATCAACACACCACCATGAAAAACAGTTACAGTGCCTTTGTTGCTGTTTTCTCATTGATTCTGTTGCATTGTCTCATGCTGTCACTTCTCACTCTCAATCAAGAGACACAAGCCCAATACTCAAGAGATATAAGCTACCCAAGAAGAATGCTGGTTTCCTCAAACTCATTCTCAGATCACTTGAACAAGCTGAGTGAAGCTGCTAAAGATCTTCAGAAATCTGTCGAAGCCAGCCTGAAGAGAGCGCCTCCGAGCAAGTCGAATCCGACCCAGAACAGGTAGCTCTGGAAGGTTCTGTTTAGGCCATAGAGATCTCAACTCAGATTAAGAAAGAGAGAAATCAACTTTTTCTCTCTTTCTACATTTTTGCAATTTCTTTCTTTTTCTTTTCCTTTTTCTGGTTTTCTGATTAGGTAGGAGGAACTGGATGTATAAGCAGTTGCTTGACCGTATATGTTGAACATTATTTTCCTTGAATTTGCTCTGTATGTGTCAAGTGATGTCTCAATAATACATCTGTATCATTCTTGAGGCCTCAACCTGTTTGACCATCAGTGTGAAGAATTTGTAACAGATTAGAGCTAATTCCCACTTTCTTGTCTTAGCCATACAATTCAGCAACATGTCAGCGATCTAAGTAACCAAGAATTGTCCGAGATAATCCGTGCAGAATCAAAGGAGAGATGGCGAGATTATCATATAAATGCACATAATTCCAGATCTAATTGAAACTTCGCATCTGACATCCATTTTTCTATTTTGGCTAAACGTCATCAGTGCCCAAAGACCATATTCCTGGTTAACAAAATCACACAAGCAAATGAAAAATCTTTTCCTTCGAAGGCTCCGTTTGGTTTCTGGACATTTCTCAAATTTCCTGTTTGCATTTTCGTTTGGGAATGAAAACCGTTTATTGATTCGACATCATCTCGAAAACAGCAAGAAACTGTTTTCAGAATTCAAGTCAGAAACTTTAAATGAAATCTTGATTATCTTCATGAAAATGAGGAGGGTTTGGAAATTTTCATTAGAAAAATATGACCCTCTTCTCTTTTGATAATATATGATCATACTTCAGTTACCCGATCTCTAAACAGGTTCCTAGTTCGACTGACGTCCAAGGAAGACGGGCAAACCGGACCGCAACGCGAACCTGGTGCAAGTCAAGTTTCCAAGTCTCGGTGTTTCCAGGGGCAGGGGTTGGGCCGGTTCATTTTCGGCCCGGCCTAATGGCCTATGGGCTCTTTATCGGGCAGAGTGTTTTGCCAATAGTCATGGCTCTTTCTTAAGCTCCTTACCCTTTATTAATTGGTGATTTTCCAACACAAAATGGCAGCTGAACAGATGCAATTTCACTTGCTTATTGATTTCAAAGAGGTAGTTGGAGAATTGCATGTAGTCCTCCTTTTACTTTTCTTTGTGATGGTTATAGAAGATTAAAAGAATGTGAACTGGTCCTCTGAATTTTCGTTAGTAGTGCATCGTTTTGTCCCATCTAAAGAGAATAAAAGAAAGTAAAGAAGGACCGCGAAATGGTCAACCAGTGCCTTCGCGCGTTTGGAACACAAGATATAGACTCATCCGTCAAACCAAGCTTCAACATCAAGGGAGTAATGAAATGAAAATCACATAAAAATCCAAAGCGATATGACAACTTGAATTGGCATTTTGGAGAAAAGCCAGTACCCCAACAGTGTGTAGGAGTTTTTGAGTCTCAGCATGTAGGAGTTTCAACTACGTATCCTGAGATGAGTGGACAACGTATGCAAAAAGTCCAAAGCGATATGACATCTTGTTAAACTCCTTTGACTTTTGACTCTCAGCATGTAGGAGTTTCAACTACGTATCCTGAGATGAGTGGACAACGTATGCAAAAAGAATAAAGAAAGTTAGAACCGTTCAAATGAAACACTTAGCTTCCTTTCAAGGATGCAGAGTATTTTCCAAGCTTTAGCTGCTCATAGAAAGTGGAAGGAAACAACAGAAAGTACACGTTCACATTCTCAGTTGGGCTTTTAATCAGCATTCTGTTGCCCTGGTTCACTCCCTTCCTCGTGTATGAAACCAGTTTTCTTAAACCTGAAAGCAAAAGAGCAACAATGGCTTCTCTTGCTTCTGTTAGCCATCTGCTCCTGCTGTTCCTTCTTCTTCTGCCATATCTTGCCATTTCACAGTCCAATATAACCACGGGCAAGTCTCTGGTTGCTGGGGATAAGGCGTCTACTCCGTGGCTCTCTCCTTCTGGAGATTTCGCCTTGGGGTTCAGCCAACTCGACAATGGCGAGAATTTCCTAGTCTCCATATGGTATGATAAGATTCGTGAGAAAACCATAGTCTGGTGTGCCAGTGAAAACAACAAACCTGTCATCGTGCCCCGGGGATCAAGACTGGCGGTAGCTGCTGATCATGGGCTCGCTCTCAATGATCCAGGAGGCGGATCTCTATGGAGCTCCAATCTTATAGTTGGTGGGGTCGCTTATGGATACATGAACGACACTGGAAATTTTGTTCTTAAGAACAGCAACTCTGAGATTCTTTGGGAGAGCTTTAAGAACCCCACGGACACCATCCTGCCCGGACAGATCATATCAGATAACAGGATTCTGTTGTCTTCTAGACAATCAGCGAGCAACTTCTCTCTGGGAAGGTTTCAGCTCCATTTGCAGGATGGGAAGCTCCTGCTTAGGACAATAAACTTGCCTTCCAGTTACGCCAATGATCCATACTTCACTTTCCCTGCTCCTTTGCCCTTCATTCCTGGTACCGGGATTAGTTTCAATGACTCGGGCTTCTTGAATCTCCTTCATGACAACGGCCAAATGTCGCCTCTCAGGACAGTTTCGGGGGAATCACCCAGGGACTACTATTTGAGAGCCACTTTGGAGTCAGACGGGGTCTTCATCCAGTACTCTCGCCCCAAGACTGGGGGAACTTGGAAGGGTGTTTGGCGGGAACCGGAAAATATATGCAAAACTGATCTAGCACCAATAGGGAGTGGCATTTGTGGTTTCAACAGGATATGCAGGCTCGATGTGAATTACAGGCCTGTCTGCGATTGCCCTCGGGGATTTTCTCTGTTTGACGAGAAAGATGAGTATAGAGGTTGTGTACCTAATTATTCACAAAGTTGTGGAGAAGCGCAGAGTTCCAGACCGGATATGTTTGTACTTGATGAAATTACTAATATCGATTGGCCAACTTCTGATTACGAGCTCTTGCAACCTTTCAAAGAGGATGAGTGTAAAGACTCCTGCCTCCACGACTGCATGTGTGCTGTCGCCATATTTAGAGGTGGCGACATGTGTTGGAAGAAGAAGCTGCCTCTGTCCAATGGCAGGATCGACACCAGCCTCAATTCGAAGGCCTTCATCAAGAGAAGAAAGGATGGAATTCCTCCGCAGACCCCTAGTCCTCCAGGACCAGATGATGACAAGAAGGATACTTTGATTCTTGCCGGGTCAGTTCTTTTAGGTAGTTCGGTGTTTGTCAACTTCATACTGATTGCTGCAACAGGCCTCGGCTTTTTCTTGATATACCAAAACAAACTAAAAAAGTACTTTAAAGATGAAAGCGGCATGGACATAAATATACGCAGCTTCACATACAAAGAGCTTGAAGATGCCACGGGTGGCTTCAAGGAGGAACTTGGGAGGGGGTCGTTCGGCATAGTTTACAAAGGGGTTATTGCAATTGGAGACTCCAAAAATGTCATAGCTGTTAAGAAGTTGGATAGGTCTTTTCAGGAGAGTGAGAAGGAATTCAAAACTGAAGTTATAGTGATTGGACAAACCCATCACAAGAATCTGGTTAGGTTGATCGGTTACTGCAACGAAGGGCAAAACCGCTTGTTGGTTTATGAGTTCTTAAGCAATGGAACGTTAGCGAGCTTCCTGTTTGAGGATCTGAAACCCAGTTGGGAACAGAGGGCCCAAATTGCCTTGGGAATCGGAAGAGGACTCCTCTACTTGCATGAAGAATGCAGCACCCAGATCATCCATTGCGACATAAAGCCTCAAAATATCCTTCTTGATGATTATTACAATGCCAGGATTTCAGATTTCGGACTAGCCAAGCTATTGATCAGCCAAACCCACACTCACACTGCAATAAGGGGAACAAGAGGATATGTTGCGCCCGAATGGTTCCGGAACATGCCAATCACCGTGAAGGTCGATGTGTACAGTTTTGGTATCCTGCTGCTAGAGATCGTTTGCTGTAGGAGAAGCATTGACATCGAAGCCAGCAATGAAGATAGAGTGATCTTAGCTGATTGGGCTTATGACTGCTATCAAGAAGGTACGCTAGAAGCACTTGTTGGAGAAGATGAGGCCGCCATGAATGACATGAAGAAGCTCGAGAGATTTGTGAGGGTTGCCATCTGGTGCATTCAGGAAGATCCAGCCTTAAGACCAAGCATGAAGAAGGTTATGCTAATGCTTGAAGGGATAATTCAGGTGTCTGCACCACCGTCCCCCTTCGCGTATAGTACCATAAGTACGGTGTAAGCTGAGAGATGTTCTAGCATTTCCTTAGAGCCATTTCAGCCCTTGTCTTTGTGATACATATTTATCATATTATGTAGACAATTTCTTACGAATGAAGTCCTGCATTGTGAACCAGTCTAGGATGATTCTAAGGAAGAAAAATATGCAGCGAAGAGAAGCCATCAATCAACGGTAGTAGTCTTATTGAGAAAAAAAAAAAACCACCTTAGTCCCGTTGAGGGAAAAAACTTTATCAGCTCTGTTCTACTATCCGGTCCTCTATGTACTCAACTTAGCCACATGATTTGCTCTTAATATCGTCTTTTGTCATGTCTTTAGACTTCAGTGAGAAGAAATCTGCTGTACACTTTCCCAATAAATGCAGCACGATTGCAAATTACGTTTTATAAGGAGCATTGGGTCGTATTTAGTTTTCAACTTTTCTTCTTACTTCTTTGAAGAAGCATAAGACTATTTTTGCAGAAAGCCCATTTTCTTGATATTTGAATGCCCGAACCCGATGCTGTCGGATGGATGGATAAGCATAATGGGATGTAGAAGTGCCAAGGAGAGACATAAATTCATTTGTGCCATCTAAGTAATGTCTGAACCTTGAGAAGGTTTCTCTTCGAATTACAATCGCTGCTTTGTCAGATATTAACATCTCAAACTCATAGAGTTGACTATTAATGTATAACCACAAAACATCGATCCAATATTGGTCTGACATGGCCAAGCCTCTGCTATGTTAGCTTCATCGTACATAGCTCATTTTTCTGGTCAGAAACCATAAATAGAAGGATAAGGTTACGTGACCGGTGAGTCTTTACAACTATTGAGATCGATAAGTTTAGACTACTGAACAAAAGTGAAATAACAGTATGAGCTTATCCTAATCATAAAACATGCAACAATAACCGCATTTTCGGCTGAACAGTTCTTTTGAAGAACAGAGATCAAGAGAACCCTCCTACGACAACAATTTAAATATATCATCTTCATCAGGAAACGAGAACAATCAGAGCACATGCTCTTCACAAGGCTGCTTGTAGACCGTAGTTCTATTTGCCATCTTTTCCTTTCATGACCTGACAACTCTTTTATATGATCATACGACTTTCAGAGTAGAAGAGACTACAAACAGTTGCATCGATGGTGCATTCACAAAGTGAGTACATACTTAAGAAGCAATGTAGACATGGACATCCAAAGTATCGTAGATTGGCGAAGTTCATCAGTGGATTTGGTTCAACTAGCTTGGTACGCTCTGGAAAAAGGAGTGATCACTAAAACAGAGAACAGAAAGTCACCTTCCAATGGCGGGAGACTCGAGATAAACTAGAAGATTCAATCTAGAACAGAGCTCGTTGACATTATGAATGCAAAAAACTCTCTAATGTCGCATCTTATGTTTGTATCGTATCATGGGATGGATATCTTCGTTATCTTCGTTATTCATGAGGGGAAAATTCAATAATTTTCTGTTGCACTAAAAATATCCTGAAGTTGGCTGCTGCTAGTTCATGGTGAACTCGAGTTGAGGTTTCAAACTTGGGTAGTGATGAATAAACAAAGTCTTTTGCGAGTCTTCTCTTTGGCGAAGCTTGCTAAGCCTTTTACAAGGACTTGAATTAGACAAAGTCCATGAGAAAAACACTAATCTATATAGCACGCAGATAGGAGCTCCATCTAAGGTGAGAGAGACTTTTCGAAAGAAGGCAAGAGGAGAAGGACAAAAGAATAGTAGCCTCCCCTACACTTATATATTTTAATGCTCGCCCTTCTTGTTTCATCGTTAAGTACCTCAACTCAAGAACCAGAAAGTTCATCTATCATGGCTTATTCCATAGTACTTGCGATCCTTCTACTTCTTCCATTTTCACTTTCCACCAAAGCTGAGACCTACAGCAACCTAACCCTGGGTTCCTCATTAACAACAATGATCAGATCTCCTCCTGGCTATTGCCATCTGGTGAATTCGCTTTTGGGTTTCAGAAAATCGGAACCAGAGATTATTTGTTAGCTGTATGGTTCGACAAAATAGATGAGAAAACTATAATCTGGTCCGCAAATGGCGACAATTTAGCAGCTGAAGGCTCCAAAGTCCAGTTGACCGCCGACGGCCGCCTAGTGCTCACCGATCCAAAAGGAGAAGAGTTTTGGGCTCCTAGCCCAACTGGTGCAGGCGTTGCATATGCAGCCATGCTTGACACGCGGAACTTCATCCTAGCGAACCAGGATGGCATCAACTTGTGGGAGACGTTCAGCCAACCCACTGACACAATACTGCCGACACCAACGTTAAATCAAGGGAGTAAGGTTAATGCTCGCTACTTGGTGACAAATTACTCCACTGGGAGGTTCCACTTCATATTACAAGCCGATGGAAATCTTGTGTTCTATCCCACTCCTACGCCGCTGGTCTCCACAGGTGCATACTGGTCCTCCGGAACCATAGGTAGCGGCTTTCAATTGGTATTCTATCAAAGTGGTCAGGTCTGCGTCACAGCAAGGAATGGAACAGTACTTAATCTCCTCACCTCAGGCACAGTCGCAACCAGTGGATTTTACAAAAGAGCGATCCTTGAATATGACGGTGTCTTCAGGCAATATGTCCACCCGAAGACAGCAAATTCAAGTTCTGGCTGGCCGATGGGCTGGTCAATGGTCTCTTCCCCTGTCCCTCCAAACTAGGGGTGAGTGTGGTCCGGGCGGGCGGTTCCTGACATAGAACTGGAAACCGCCCACTAAGGACGGGTTCCGAGAAATTAGAACCGGGAACCGCCTGTTGGTTCCATGGATCCATCCGGGAACCGGACCGCCGGTCCGGTCCGGTTCCCAGGTGAGTCCATGGAACCGGTCCCACTAAGTTTCACGTAAATGGAGGTGACCGAGAGTGAGAGAGGGAGGCGATGAATGGTTAAATGCGCGGTAGTGAGTTGATGAGAGTTGAGAGTTGAGCTTTAGATTAGTGATTTTATGATTTTCATTTTTCTAAAAATATTTTCTTTTTTTTTTGTTGAAATTTTTCGAAAAAATTATATATATTACCGGTCCGGGTGGGCGGTTTCACACCTATAACCGGGAACCAGACCGGTATTCACCGGTTTTAGTAAATTAGAACCGGGAACCGGACCAGGCCTCATGGGAACCGCCGGTTCTGGGCCGGTCCGGTCCGGTTCCGGGCGGTCCGAGCGGTTCTCGGTTCCTTTGCACACCCTTACTCCAAACATATGCACGAGCTTCCTGCGAGCTACTAGAGTTGGAGCTTGTGGCTTCAACAGCTACTGTACTCTCGGATACGACCAGAGACCACGGTGTCAGTGCCCACCAGGATATACTTTGTTAGATCCAACAAACGAGATGAACGGATGCAGACAGGACTTCGATCCACAGAGTTGTGAAGGAAGTAAGCCTGAAACAGACCTATTCACTCTGCGTGACATGCCCAACACAGACTGGCCGATATCTGATTATGCATTTAATCAGCCACCAACTGAGGATTGGTGCAGACAGGATTGCTTGGCTGATTGTTTCTGTGCAGTAGCTATTTTCAGAGACGGGAATTGCTGGAAAAAGAGGATTCCGCTTTCAAATGGTAGGATGGATCTCAGCGTGGGTGGGATAGCTCTGATCAAGGTCAGGATAGATAATTCAACTTCGAAATTCCCAGGTGACGGCCAGAAGAAGCACAAGAACTCGACTTTGATAATCATTGGATCAGCACTGTTGAGTAGCTCTGTGTGTGTGAACTTGCTTTTACTCCTCATTACCTATATGCTTTGTGGAAGCTTCCGATATAGGAATGGTAAGTGGATACGACCATTGCAGATCAACCAAGCCAAAGGTATGCAAACTTTCACTTATCAGGAGCTCAAAGAAGCAACAGATGGATTCAAAGAGGAACTGGGAAGGGGTGCTTTTGGGGCAGTGTACAAAGGTGTTCTTGAATCGAATGACACAAACTTTGTGGCAGTAAAAGTGTTGGAAAAAAAGACTGGAGATACCGAAAAGGAGTTCAAATGAGAAGTGAGTGCAATTGGCCAGACTAACCACAAGAACTTAGTGCAGCTGCTTGGATTCTGCAACGAGGGTCAACACCGACTGCTGGATGAGCAATGGCACTTTGGCGGATTTTCTGTTCGGCGCTTCAAGGCCAAGCTGGTACAAAAGAATAGAAATTGCCTGTGGTGTTGCAAGGGGGCTCGCTTACCTGCATGATGATTGCACCAGGCAAATAATCCATTGCGAAATCAAGCGGCAGAACATTCTACTGGATGACTCTCTTAGTCCGAAAATATCGGACTTTGGATTGGCTAAGCTCTTGATGGCGGACCAGACACAAACAACCACCGGAGTCAGAGGAACCAGAGGTTATTGAGCGCCAGAATGGTTTCGGAATATGTCTATTTCTGGCAAGGTAGACGTTTACAGCTTCGGTATTGTGTTGCTCGAGCTCATCTGCTGTAGAAAGCACTATGAGCTGGAAGTGGAAGATGAAGCTGAAAGAGTATTGGTTGATTGGGTGTACGATTGCTACGATGAAGGGAATGTACATCTGCTTGTGGAGAGTGACGAGGAGGCAATGAGTGACAAAAAGAGGATGGAAAGATTTGTGATGACAGCAATATGGTGCATCCAGGGAGATCCGGCTTTCAGGCCTTTCATGAAGACAATCACTCAGATGTTGGAAGGAGCAGTCGAAGTCTCAGTCCCCCTGAATCCAGACTCTTTTATCAGTTCAAGATGATTCTGCTTAGTTAGACAACTGGTGTATGCAATCATGAAAAGCCTTCTGTGTGGTCTGTAAGTGCCGCTAAGCTGGAATAAACATTTTGTGATATCTTCGCATGGATGCAGCTTAAATAAGCTAAGTTTTATCAAGATTTAACGTTCTTTACATGCATTCAGGAGAGAGAGGGTTGACGATTGTTGGCGAAAAGGGATTTTGCATGCGATCCTACACGCTATTACGGCTAGATAGTCAAATGGTGGATTGATCAAGTAACTACACCGAGCCCAAAACCGTTTTAGTTTATACTGATGTGGTATCAGTACATGAAAATATACATTCAGAGGTAGTCTCGTTTTGAATTTTTCCAGGAACTCTGGATAATCGTTTCCCCTTACGCCGCAGAAAGATTCACAAGGCTCTACCGAAGCATTTTAAACACCAAGTTTGCTTCGGCAAAATACTCTTTGACCCCGTCGAAGAGTATCTTGACCCGATCTAACCAAAACAGATCCTGCAACTCATTCCTTCTTGCCAACTGAAAAATCTGCATTCCTGCCTAACGAGACACCCGTATTTTTCCATTTCTTCTATGAAAATATCCTATGCTCTCTTCCTATCGGTCATCGGCTAAACTAGACAATGAGAACCATACAAAATTTTCCAATCCTTAAGTCGTTGGACGGCGCCTGAAAATCCTAATTTTCAACAGTCCCATAAAATTATTCATGCAGAAGCGGACTTTCACTTCCTCCAGCTGGCCAGCTTCCTAATAGGCCAATAAAATCACAGTCCGCAAAATCGCATTTTTTAAAGCATAACGAAAGCGAACTTTCTTCGTAATTCATCCGTCGAAGAAATCACGAACAGCGACATCAAGGCAGATGATATTCTAATCATATGCATACTTTTCCTGTGATGATCCAAAAGCTTGACCGAAACACTCGACCAACCACAGTCAATGCCATTCGACGAAAACTGGGCTCGAAACAGGACGAAACCGGAAAGTATACCGAGGCAACGGCATTGGAAAGATCCAGGGAGTATCGACAAGCGATCTCATGAGTCCCACTCGGACAGCTAACTTCGGAGTCATCTTCAATAGATTAATCAACGCACACATCCAATGAAGGAGAGCTTGCCTCTCATCATAGATTTCGTCAACGGTAAGAAATGAACCGCAACAGACGGAACGAAAACCGCGTACGGCTTCAACACATCCGATCACAGAAACCCAGGAAAAACCAGCATTTCACCAAAAACAGTGGACTTCAATGCATCAGAAGAAGGGTCAAACTCCTCCAACGCTTTGGCAATAGCTGGAAGTTTCGCGCATTACAAGCAATGAGACAGGAAATACCCTTCTTTTTTAAATTAACTCCACGAAGGTGCAAACGTCACTCCAGAGATGGCTGAAAAAATCAACTTTCTTCATTTGTAACAAAGAATGAGAGGGTATCTTCTTTATTTAGTTTCGTTTTTGTTGGATCTCTGAATGCCGGCAAAGTCTCTATCGCTCTGAGAAATCGGAACCCAACCTGGACCTTCGTGTATTTTAAGGTGGAAGACCATTTCTTAGGACAGCTTCAACAGAGGAAGTGAACAGATGGGAAAATTGCTTCGAATCTCGTTTGCTCGTCGCGTACGGTAATTGACGAGCTGTTGCCCATCACCGATGGCGACATAATCTCTGTATGACGAACTTAGAAAAGGGATGAATCACAATTTAAGAATGCCCAATAATTTCTCTTTTATATATGGCTATCAAAATGGGTCGCAAACTCATATTCTAACCTACGTATAGCGAAGTGGGTTATATACAAGTCACTTTAAATTCGAAATATGAGTTTTAAAGATAAATATCCAAAATAAATGAATTGAAAGTGGATTTGTAATCGATCGTTTTTCAACCCATTTAATAACTCACTTATTAAGTCTTAGCCTTTCGAGCGACCCATTTTCTCTTTTGTATAAGCGAAAGCGAGAGATATTAGCTCCATGACAAGAATAACTACTAGAAAATCAGTTAAACTAGGTCACATATTGAATAAAAATGATATGGTAAAGTTAAAACGCGGAAAAATTGTTCAAAAAAAAATCTTAAATTTATTATACGGCGGCCAATTTAGTCCCGGCATCCCTCGCTCGAGGCCGGCAACCTCCGCCGGCCATTGACAAGGCCCGGTGATGGCTAGCGGAGAGAAAAAGGGAAAAAAGAAAAAAGAAAAGAAAAAAAAGGAAACAAAAGGAAGAAAAATTAATTTTTTATAAAAACTTGCAAAAATTGTTTAGTCAAAGCCGATCGTGCCACATAAAACGTTCGGCATTGACTACACCGCCACGTCAGCGATTTCCGGTCAAAATTGGCCAGAAGGACCAAATTGGCAAATCGTTAAAAGATTTAGGACTAAATTGGCAAATCGTCAAAAGTTTAAGGACTAAATTGACACAATTGAAATGTTTAGGGCTTAAATTGGCAAGTTGTGACAAAATTGGCACAATCGAAAATTTTAGGACTGAATTGGCCGTCGTATAATAAGTTTAGGACTTTTTGAACATTTTTCCTGTTAAAACATGTAGTTCGTAAATTAATTTAAATTGATCGGGAACGAGATTACCAAACTCTTTTGGTTCGCAAAAACAGATTATCTAACTTTTTTTTTTTGTCGAAAGAAAACTGTATTCATTGCTCGAATGATACATGATAAGTATATAGACATTTATGGCAAAGAAAATCGAAGTAAAGCAAAGCCCATAATACTACAAAACAATGCCAAATCCAGAAATCAATGAGGATCAATAGAGCACTAGCTCGCAGGCTTGAGCACGCACCATAAGAACATATTTGTCAAAGCAAAATAATATGTGACCGATCATTGGATCTTGTAACATTGTTAGCGATGAGCGCACACTGAAAATTCCTTTTCCAATAATTACGGCGTTGCCAGTTGGCGGTATGCGTCTAGGTTTGGCTTCCTCTACGTCACTGTCACAACCAAAACAGATTGAATAAACATAGGTCTAATTTTATCATCTAACTTCTTTTTGGTCGGGAACTTTAATTATCTAACTTGAATATGGACATGAGTACGTTTGTTTTGACTCTTATTTTTAAGGAAGTTATTCAAGACTTTCGGTAATTTACAATATCTCAATAACAATTATTTGCTTTTCTTCCGAGGGCATGTGAAAAGTATCTCTTAGCATCGGAATCAAAAGTGCGTCGGAGGGATGTCGTAGGACAGAAAAGGTCGCTCGTGTGAGCGCTCCTGGACTCGAATCCCACAGTTCTCTCGTTCAGATGTTCCGGAGCGCAATGCGCATGCAGTTCTCGGCTCGCTCGTGCTGAAGCAAGCTCCTCTAGATTCATGCTCGTGGATCAGAATCTGGGTGCTTCCATGACGAACTCCACACGATGAGCCGCTCTAAACTCGCATCGAGAAGCTTGTCGTTAGACGACCTCAATTCGCTGCTGCAAAGATGCATGAAAGCCAAGTCCTCGTCACTGTCCAGGCAAGCCCATGCCATGTTGATCACCACCGGGGCCGGTCGCTCCTCCCCGTCCCTGAGCTCGACCCTCGTCGGCTCCTACGGGAGCTGCGGCGACTCGGGCTACGCGAAGCTCGTGTTCGGCGCGATTCGGCACCCCAGCGTGTTCGCGCTGAACTGGATGGTCTCGATCTCGGCGTTCAATGGGGATCACGAGGAGGCATTTGGGTACTTCGCTTCGATGCAGAAACTGGGTCGGACGTGCAATAGGTTCACCTTCTCCATCGTGCTCAAGGCTTGCATTGCCGTGATGGATGTATTCAAGGGGAGAGAAATTCACGGTGTTGTGTGCAGAATGTATTTACGAGATGACGTGTCTGTAGCGAATTCTTTGATAGATATGTACGGTAAATGCGGGAGGTTGGATCTTGCGCGTAAGGTGTTTGACAAGATGTTTACAAGAGATGTAGTTTCTTGGACGTCGATGATTTGTGGGTATTGCCATGCGGGGAAGATGGAAAAGGCTGTCGAGCTGTTCGAGCGAATGAGAAGGGAAGGGCTAGAACCAAATGCCTTCACGTGGAACGCGATGATAGCTGGTTACGCTAGGACCGGAGATAGAAATGGGACGATGGCACTCTTGAATGAGATGAAAAATGAGGGGCTGATTCCCGATCTGGTCACTTGGAATGCATTGATTTCTGGTTTTGTTCAGAGCAACCAAGTCCACGAAGCTTTGAAACTTTTTCAGGAAATGTTGGTGTCGGGGGTTAAACCAAATCAAGTCACGGTCACAGGTCTTCTCCCAGGATGTGGATCTACGGTTACAATAAACAGAGGGAGAGAAATTCACGGTTTGATATACAGAATGGGACTTGATGTGAATGTATATGTAGTTAGTGCTCTTATTGACATGTATTCAAAAAGTGGGTGTGTCAAGGATGCTTCCAATGTTTTCGACATGGTAACTGTCAAGAATGTGGCTTCCTGGAATGCAATGATAGGGTGTTATGGCAAGCATGGCATGGTTGATCGGGCTCTTCAGCTTTTTGAGGGAATGAAGGACAGACAGATTCGGCCAAATGAAGTGACTCTTGTTTCCATTCTTTCTGCTTGCAGTCATGGTGGCTTACTAGAGAAAGGTTTACAAATTTTTAGATCCATTAAAGAGGATTATGGTGTTAGTCCCCGAAAAGAACACTACGGTTGTGTGGTTGACCTTTTGTGCCGTTGTGGTAGGATGACAGAAGCTTACAATTTGTTGAAGGAGATGCCCGTAGATATCACCGATTCAATGCTTGGAGCCTTTTTTAACGGGTGCTCGATTCATGGAAGAAATGATTTGGCTCAACTAGTTGCAGATGATATTGCAAACAAGACGTTGAAAAGACCTGCGGGTCTTGTGACACTGTCGAATATTCTTGCAGCCGGTGGAGGATGGGAGGGGGTCGAGAATGTTCGAGATGTGATGAGGGAGAAAAGGATCCATAAGAAACCTGGCTACAGTTGGATTTAGAAGAGGGATAGGACAGAGTCTATCGGACCAGGAACGAGCCGTTACAGGACGGCAGACTGCTCTAGTCAACTTCTACTGCGAAGAAGCTCGAGTATCGGACGGAACACGCAGAACCTATCGTAAAGCACCAGAGCAGAAGATTGAAGATACATGTCCACTGTTCTGGATCGCGGTTTTCGCTCCTCTTAGATCGTCATTCCTGACAACTCGTTTTTGTCAGAAGGTGAAGCATGTGACCCATTGCAGGAACAAACTGCAAGCAAAAGAACCTGCAGATTCTCTTCTGTGATAGGTAATGCTCATGGTATCTGCAGACGACAAAATTCCGGTGATGCTGGTTGTAGTTCAGGCCCCGAAGAGACGCTTCATCAGGGAACCATTGTCTCGGTTGGACAGCATCAGAACAAGAAAAATTTTAGTCGTAGGTGTTTCTGGATCGCAATTACAACGGTCCTTTCTTAAATCAATATCTATCTTCTTTTGCTCTATACATTAATATACAAAACTCCAAACCTCAAATATTTAAGATTAATTAAAAAAAAAGATAATTGTCTATCATCTCTAAACTCGTTATTTTATTTACTTTGAGTGGCTTTCTGTTATCGGTGAAAAGTAGTTTTATTAAACAAGACTAGAGCAATTGTCCACGCGTCACTTGTTACTTTATACACGAAAGTGGAAATTTAATAGCTTATTAGTTATAATGTTGGTGTAATATAATTTTACTTTCTTTAAAATTAGGCGTTGTTCTAATTTATCTATGTTGCGGCCTAAAGGGCGAGTGTTCAGATCCCACTTCATATTCAAATTGTTACAAGGTAAGGCATAAATATACATAAAATCAATTTAAAGTAATTTAACTTGTCAAGACCAAATTCTAATATTTCTACACCCGACCCGAAACAATCGAAAGCAAAAGCAAAATTGAAATCGACTTATATCAGAATTGTCATAAATCCAAGAGAACCCAAAATTACTAGGGCCCAAACAAATCCTTATTTGCATTCACGAAGTAAACGACCCGAAACAGACCCGGATCGAGATGATCTGAGCCGACCATCCCGAACTTAAAAAATTTATAGAACGAAATGACTTTTACTCAAATATAACTCATAATTGAATTTATCTGAATAGAAACAATCTGACTAAATTTTCTTTTTATCAAAGAATTTTGTATCGTCAGCCATAATCGCTATAAAACTTCTTAATAAAGAATGGATTAGTTTATCATATTATTTTAGTAGTAAATTTCATAAGAAGGTCTCGATACCTCTAAAATTGATTTTTGGGGGAAAAAAACAGATGAGACAAGAGCATAGGCAAGGAAAAGGACACGAGCCATTCACAAAAGATGGTAGACTAGACATGTTACTTACGAGAAAGTCTTTATCCAATCAATGAACATCCTGTCATGTGTCACCCTCCTCTCCTCTCTCTCTCTCTCTCTCTCTCGTTGTTGGTTTTGAGTTTTTGAGAGTCTTTTGCATTCCATTTCTCAAGTTTGGCCATTCTCTCTTTGGAAGGCGCACCACCCTGTGGTACTAGAGTACTTCCGCGTGCCGATCCTCAGCATCTTCGAGGGCTGAAGTTCCTTGGTCTGGGCGTGCGATCTTTCCTCCTGTGACCGCTCTCTCTTACCAAGTAAGAAAAAAAAAAGATCTCCTTTTTCGTTTGTTCCCCTGCTTTCGTTTCGCTCTGTACAAGAATCCTCGCACAGTTTGAAATCCGTCTCTGACTTTGCCCTTCTTCTTCTTCTTCTTCTTTCCCTTGCTCTGCCAAGAATCAAGCCGGTGGATGTCATGCTGTGATGCGATTGAGGCTTGTGTATGGGGTTAGTTCTCTCTCTCTTTTTGCATGTTCTGTTTGAGAGAGTAGTTCGGTTTGTAGCAAAGCTTGGGTTTGTCGTTCAGAAGTTGAAGTTAATAGCTGCCGGTGGTTTCTTTTAGTTTCATTGCACTCATTGGAGAGCTATTTTAGTTTTATGCGCAGGAATAAATCTTGGTTGTTTGGTTTTCTGTGGGCATTTCATGTTGTTTGCAAAGGTTTCGTTTTTTAAAAATAATTTGACTTTGAATCGGGATCCAGGAAATAGCATTAGAGTACTCGACTGATTCTTAGTTCTTTTTGGAAATCGCAGAGTGTACGAGTATAATTTCATTTCTCAGAATTGGATGACTGGAACTTTTCTTTATATACATATTTATTGCTGTCTTGTGTCGTATTATCTGTCCATGTGCTTCTCTGTGTCGTATCTCTGAGTAATACACGGAAGAATATCACGGTCTTCTGTAGCACCTAACCTCTGGAGCAGACTATCTAGCTATTAATCTGTTGAATTTATAGGATGAACACTCCGATGTTTTCACCTTCTCGTGTCTATTCTTTCCTTTATTCCCTTTACCAATTTATGGGTTGGAACGGCTAAAATGATGGTGGTTTGTCCAATTGGTATTACTTGTTATCTGTCCGCATTATAAAGAAAAAAAGTTCGAAACGTTTTCTTACCCATGGACAGAGAATGAATGAACTTACTTAACTTCATTACACTGCGATTCATCAAACATACGATTGCTGTTAGGTGTTTTGCAGTTGCTTTGATACTTGACTTGCTTTGCCTTTTGGTATTGCAGGTGTATCAGATGTCTGTTTAGACGTTGGCATTGTCACTCTTGAATGATGCGTAAGGGAAGAGGAAAGGCAAAAAAGGTAACTTCTAGCAACAATGAAGATCCAGGAAGTGGCGAGGAAGAAAAATCGCTGGCTCAGAAGAGGAGAGGGAGACCACAAAAGCTCTCGAGGGATGAATTGGACAAGGAAGAAGTTGAAAAGATAGAAGAGGAAGATGGTGATGATGCAAAGCTGAGTATCTCTAGCAAAGAAAAAGAAGACCAAGCTTCATTGGAGAAGGGGAAGAAGAGGAAACGTAACTCACGGGTAAGAGGGAAACTGGATTTGGTGAAAGAGGAGAAAGGCATTGGTACAAGATCAAGTGGCAATGATTTGACCAAGTTGAATGGATTCCGGCATAATGGAAGCAGGCGTAAAAGCAAACCTCGCCGAGCTGCTGAAGTAGGGGTGGAATGCAAGTGAGATTCTGGTGGCTAGATTGAAGTTGATCAGGATGTCTTCCGTTTGCCTTTGGCGGATAAAGTCTTTTGCTTTTGCCTGATGAATACCGATGAAGCTCTTTATTCCATGTTTTCGGGGTTATTAACCTTTTTGAGGCTAATTCCCTTACTTGATCTCTTTTTGGTCTAGTAGAGCTTTCATAGCATATACAGCTCTGAAGTTAGGGATAGCTTTTTCCCGTTGAGTACTTAATCAGCTTTGTTAATAGGTCACTTGCAAGCATGTTTATCCAGTCGCTGTTACATTTGCCCAAGCAATATTCTGGTGATCCTATGCATCATATTTTCTCGTTTCCAATGGTATTTCTTCTGGTTTCTTTCCCTTTCTGGTTTAAATTGGTTGGTCAGCTGCATAAAGCACCTAAAAAGATATGGCTACTTCAGCGATAATCAGACAGCTTCATTTGTTTCGATGTTAGACGGTTTGGATGGTCAAGATTGTCATTCTAATGCTTTAATTTGATGATGGCTCGTTGCAGTTGTGAGTTTTAGATTTGTCTTGCCAAGCGTGCAGGTTATCTTCTAGCCTTTAAGGCCGCCGTGAACGTTTATTGTGTTTTAACTCAATTCTTGGATTGCAAGAGCAGAGCTTATTGTGGAATCCACGTCTCATTCTTTCTTGTCCTCTTGGATCTCATTTCTCCTTGAAGATTGAGAGAAACATAAACTCGTGCAGCAACCAGATGATGCAATTTATACACGTGAGCGCTTCAATATTGCCGCATCAACGCCTGCAGATTTTAAACCTTGAATCTCTCCCGCTGCATCTACTTATTCATTTCTAGCTCTGGTGGCTGAAGCAAGTTGGGTCATGAGAATGCTGTTTGCACTTCAGCTCGACGTTATTAATGCCTCTACTGCCTCTGCGGCAAGTGGCCTCCATCTTCGTTGGCAGAGGTGGTGATAGCCTCCGTGTTCTTTGGCAGAGGTCGTCGATCACCATAGCTGGATACAAAGAATTGTATAATGTATGTCTGTTTCTTGTTTTGTACTTTGATTTCGTAATCTGAGTATGTGCATGCTTCATTATGCATTTACACTCTGTAACATAGTACCATGGGCATCGGTAGTTCACGGCATCACGCTTGGATAGAATGAGCTGTGGATCCGTGCAAAGTCTCATCGATTGGAGGTGAATCATAGCCTTCACGTGCAGGTTTGCCTCTAGTGCTAATATTATATGGTGAAGACCTGAAAGTGCAGCTGAAATCAAAAGGCTGGGAGTTTGCCAGTTTTGAGTGTAATGATCAACACATGAGCTGATACAAAGAGTTGGCAGATGTTTCGACTCCGATACCAAAAGATTCCTTAGTTTATCTGTACTCATTTAGCTCCAAACCTTTCTGGTGATCTCTTCCTGCAATTCTGTCATCGAGATATCCTTGATAAGTAAGGATGAAACAAGAGACTGGGAACTGCCCTGACAATTGATGGTCGAATGTGATTCTCAGATGTACCAGGAGCATGACATTTTCGTCCATCTACACAAATCATCTTCAATATAGTTGGCATGTGACGATGATTACTTTGGGAGGATGAGACATCGTACGTTTGGAGTACGTAAAAGTCTCTCTCTCTCTACCGGACTCTCCTGATGGGTTTCTTCTCTATGTTTTAGATCTTCTATTTTCATCTTTGCTGTTGCGGTGCCTGGTTAGCTCTCCATCTCTACATCCGCACTGTTCGTTAAATTTTCGACTTAGGACAAACAAACGCTATAATTTAAAGGGCTAGATCCTGGTTAGCACTACATCCGCACTGTTCGTCAAATTTTTTACCTAGGACAAGCAAATGCTATAATTTAAAGGGTTCAATCGTGCGAAAGAAAAAGTTGCAAGACAAAATCACACAAAAACTAGAAGTCACAGGAGTGAAGTTGACATTCTACCCAATTGGTTGACGTGAATCCTAATGGGTGCGCTCCTTCCTGCACATTTATCATCTTGGAGTCCTGAAAATGAAGTAGGAACTGATGTTTGATTTGTTCTGGCGACCAACTTCGGTGCTTGGCCTCATTCTAGCTGCTCAAGGGTCGTGCATCATTCTTGCTATTCGGGGTTAAACGGCATGATCATCTTAAGTTAAACAAAGTTGTCTTCTTGCAATCTCAGTCTCTGCTATGCTCCAAGTATGAATGTTTGCATGGTCCCACTAATTATGCTCTGCCTGCATTTTCCCAATTGATTTGTTTGCCGCAATGAGGTGAGGATGACGTGGTCGACATTTTTCCTCGTCGAGAAGGATTAAAGTGGAGATCACTTGATAATCAGCGTCAACTAGAGCACGTGAGGAAAGCAAGAAATTCAATATGAATATACAGTCGTGGCCCGAGAAAATCTCCGAAACTCACAGTCGAGCGATATCTGTCCGCACGACAAATGCGAATCCTCGAATCAATGCCATGCGCACACATTTAATAGTTGTAATTGTATAACTAAGACTGGGCTATATTTTCCTCCATTCTTAGCTTGGAGGAAGCCGTTCCTCTGATTCGCAAGTTACGAATTATGGATGGTCGCGCATGAAAGCTTAATGGAAGATAAAATTTGGGCGATTTTTGTATTTACAAACCATTAATCAGAAGATGGACTGCAGCAAATTTTCTCCGGCCGGGAACAGAGGCAGCGTGATTTGCGTATGAACAGGTTGGTAGTGGATGCGCTCATAACATTATGATTGCAAAGTGCATTGGATTAATTTGGGATTTGGGAAGTCGGGTGTTTCACACCCCTGTCTTCTCCATATATCATGTATGTGTTGGGAGCGCCACCAGAAGTCCGGTACCTTTCACCCAAGAAAATCACCAAGAGGGGGTCTAAATTCGAACCCTATTCCATCTATACTAAGATTGGCCACATCAAGATAAACTAGAATCTCCAACGTCCACCTTCAACTCTGTGTTGGTCACTAGATTCTCTTCTTGAGATATCACCAAATTGGGAGTGGCCTACCAAAATCATTTGCTCGATACCTTTCACTCGAGAGCTTGCTAAGAGAGAGTTTAAGTTAGAACCCGTCAATATATCCAGTTAGACACAATTTCATTCAAAAACTTAAATTAATGAATTTTGAGTCAATTATTAAATATTAATTATTTCACATCATGTCAATTCTCTGATGCGATAATTTATACGTGCATTTAAACGGTAGGTACTACGTATGTGTAGAACCAAACCAAACCCCTCGAAAAGATAGGGTTTTGTACATTGGACACTTGAGCAAGTTAACCGAAGAAATTGCACGATAATGATAACGATACCTCAGAAGATGGACATACACGACTGACTAATCATGGAACGCCAAGATGGAACTTTAGAAGGGCTTGGACTTGAAGATGGCAAACTCAGTCTTCCTGTGGCGCCACGTGATCTGAAGAAGCACGAAACTTTCTGACTTTTCAAGATGAAGGAGGATCCGAGGACGTGGCTATTACTCAGTTTCGAGTTTCAGATGAGATTTATTATGGCCTTTGATTTTTGGTGCTGGTTGGTGCGGGTACCTTTCTTTGATGGGCAAGATTTTGGCGTGCGTTGGGTGCGATGATTCGTCAATTTTTTAAAAAATGAATCGAGACGTGCTTTCTTGCTTCTTGCTTCTAATCTTGAAATGATTTCACATTTTCATTGCTCACCACATACTTACAAAACGTAGTCAATTCAGCTCTAGCTAGACCTCGATAGCCGGGGGACATTTTTAGATGCACCAGGTGTATCTGAGTCTAGTGCATCCCTGTTATGAGATCTTGTGGATCTTATATGAGATCTGATGACATCAAGAGCTTGGATGTGTTGAGTTCACATGCATCCGGATCATCTAAGAATTTTTCAACAGCAAAGAGAATCATTTTTCAGGAACCGAGGAGCTTAATCATCATTTTCGTGTTACTATTATTATTTTTATTCTTATTACTATCATTATTACTATTATAATAATTATTTGCCAGCTCCGAAAGATAAAACGCATGGATCCATAGGATAGCTCAAGTGCATTCCCATGCTCACAAGTCAAAGATATGCAACTTGTAATTCGATGACATGTTTATCTGCGTGGACCCTCAAACTGGGCAGTCTTCCAGGTTCAGCTCTAATTAATTGCAGTTTCACTTTCATGTGGCGATCAACGTGTCTTTTGAACTTTGATTGGAGAATCATTTTAATAAATCATTCTTTATAATTGAATCGGCAGACCATATAGTAATCCAATAAAAAAGATCGACTTGTTTCTACTATGCATGTCTTGTGCCGAGATTGATTTTTCGTCTGTACTACGTCTAAGCATAGGACCAATCTGTCCTCTTCTTCTTTAAACGAGACTTATGGTCAATAAGAGGTGTTGCCCTTCTCTTGTCTTAGTGAGTCTTGGTTTATGAAGTTCCACGCTAGCTATGGTTGCACGAAATGAAAGTCCAGATTGAATGCCCCTAACTAGTCCGTTAAGATAAACCAAACAAAGGGGTCCACACAATTACCCAAAATGTCTGCTCCTCTTTAGATTCATTCACCTACCCGAGTATGTAGTTCCAAAATAGGTCTTTAACCGATTCACGAAATTTTCGGTCTGTTTCATGGGTTTTTAGATAGCCGGGCTTCCGTGCTCATGTGCCGCTGCAAAATGGCAAATGGTCTTTAATTACTTGGTTACACCAGATCGCAGCTTTTACCAAGCGGGAGTTTCGATACTTTGACATACGGAGGGCCTCATAAATGGTGTCAAGCAAAAAATAGTAATTCAGCACAACTAAATCAGATATCACCGGATCACAAGAAAGTTCTTTTTCTAGGGGTGGGAGAGTGAGTTTATGAATCGACACATCAAACCTACATAATCATCCGTCTTTGTCAAGTCTCGTTTTCTTTCATGAATGAAATTGAGCTGGAGATTGTCATTTAGGGGCTTTCTTGAGACCTCTATAAGTAGAGCAAAGGCGAAAGTTAGTCTTTCGAAGTGAATGTGTGATATTAGTCATCGCGTTTCATGTTCATCATGAACTGCTTTTAGGGTTTCTTGTCATTGTGGGTTCACTGAGTCATTGTTTAGCTGCCGGCAATGATTATATGTATAAACCCGGCGATTATGGCGCCGTTTCGCTCAACCGGAGCAGTTTCCTGCCCGGTTTTCTTTTTTTCTTCAATGTATACCCTGAGAAAATGTCAAGCATATTTGCAGTTTTGCTTTTTGGTTTTTATAAGTCATTTCACGTTTGAAATGTTTTCAGTATGAAGGTGCAGCAAATGAAGATGGTAAAGGGCCAAGTATCTGGGATTACTTCACTCACAAATATCCAGGTCTCTCTCTCTC